CCTGACGCCTGCTTCCTCGGCAGCCGGCGGCGGCTCCCCTTCGGTGTTCCCGCTAATCTGAGGGAAGTGTGAGCGAGGGGACAGGTTTTTTGAGCCTCTGGCTCAGGCAGGGGCAGGTGAACCACGAGGCAGGCCAAGCACGTGCTCAGGGCACCCGGGCCAAAGGGGGCACCGCAACGTTGGGGAAAGGGTGGGAAAGCTTCGTTCCTACAGGTGGGGAGCCCTGTTGGTCTGAAGCGACAGAACCAAGTTTCAGTCCAGTGGCATCTTTAAGACCCACAAAGTTTAATTCTGGGTATAAGCTTTTGTGTTTAATTGAGTTTAATTCTGGGTATAACCTCCAGCACTCACTGGAGAAGACCCTGATGCTGGGAAAGATTGAAGGTCAAAGAAGACGGGGACGGCAAAGGATGAGATGGTTAGACAGTGTCATCGATGCAACGAACATGAAGTTGAGCAAACTTCAGAGGACGGCGGAAGACCGGAAGGCCTGGCATGATCTGGTCCATGGGGTCGCAAAGAGTCGGACTCGACTGTGCGACTGAACAACAACAAAAATAACCTGGGCATAAATTTAAGTTTAATTCTGGGTATAAGCTTTCACGTTCATGCACACTTGTGCTTACATACGAAAAATATAGGTAAAGGTAAAGGTTCCCTTGCACGAAAGCCAGTCGAGTCCGACTCTAGGGTTGCGGTGCTCATCTCCGTTTCAAAGCTGAAGAGCCAGCGCTGTCCGAAGACATTTCCGTGGTCATGTGGCCGGCATGACTAAACACCAAGGCGCACGGAACACTGTTACCTTCCCACTGAAGTGGTACCTATTTATCTACTTGCAATTTCTTGCTTTCGAACTGCTAGGTATACCCAGAATTAAACTTTGTGGGTCTTAAAGGTGGCACTGGACTCAAACTTTATTCTTCAACTAACATGAAGTTAAGCAAACTCCGGAGCACGACAGAAGACAGGCGGGCCTGACGTGATGTGATCCATGGGGTCGTGAAGAGTCGGATTTGACTGTGCGACTGAAAAACAAAAAATAGATTGACAACAGATCAAGCTCTGGGAGAGCACTGGAGAATATGGTGAAGAGGGAACAGGGCAGCACTGCCACTTTGTTGAGGCACACAGCTTAAGCAGGTGGGGTGGGTGGACATTGATAGCATCACCCAATAAAATATACATCTATAATCGAAATAAATCTCTCTCATTTCCCGAAGATGCCAGTTTCTCCTATTGCCTGCCCTCAAGGCTAATTCACATACAAAATTTAGGTTCCACCCTGTGTCCTGTTGCCAAATGTGCTTTATTTTTGTTTATTTAATCTCAGTGTTGGAAGGGACCACCAAAGTCATCTAGTCCAACCCCCTGGCAACACAGGAACCACAACTATAATACTTTGCGAGTTCCCTGCTCAGAAATTAATTTCCAGGCTCACATAGACCCAGCTTAGATTGGTGCTGTGGTGTGCCCAGAAATTAAGTTCTGAGCATGGAATTGCCAGAGCGTACCTGTTGATAGGGCATATGGACTTTGTGATGTGTGGATTCACCTTTTACCTCACAGAATGATCCCTGCAGACTCTTTCCTGGCTCCATAGCATAGGTGAAGGAAATAGCATTCATGAAGAAAAATGAGCACGGCGAGTTTGAGGCTGTAGCCATATTGCCCTAAACCAGACCCAGATAAGTATCCCACAAGAACACACACACACAATAATTAAACAACTCCTAAATATCAAACAAACACCTTTGAAATAAACTCCCAAAGAATCCACGATCATGCCAAGTTCCTTAAGAAATCTCCCTTCCTCCTCCTTCCCTCACAAACTGGGAGTTCTGCAGAAATCTCTGTGACATCCACAGTTTCAATGTGCTGACAATTCCTAGATGTTTTCCCCGCCCCCCACCCTTTCATACAAAATAACAAGTGTTGCAAAATAGCCGCAATTAAGATTTGTTGGCGATTTTGCTATCCCACTCTTCAAGCAACTTTAGCTCCAAAGCAGATTACGACATCTGTCGCAAAGACCATACAATATGAGGGAGAAATAGGTGTGGGTGTGTATGACAATCTTTTGATGGCATAGTCAATGGGAAATTTCTCAGATACTCTGGGGTATTTCTACATTACATTTCCTAGGAGAGAGAAAACTCTAAGAGCCATAATTCAATGCCTCATGTGGATATCAGCCATTCCACACATCCATCCATCAAGAATAATTTCAAGAATGATTGGTCAACCCCAAAGATGTCCAAACGCCTTTTCATTCAGAACCCATCAGTGATACTAGAGAGTTCCTTTAATAGTTAAGAGTTTGTTCAATTCAAACATAGATATCATGGACCGGTTACTTCAAATGCAACCTTAAAAGATCTAAGGACCCACTGGAACCAAAGCCATGAGATTTTAAAGGAACCAGACTCACATTTTGCCATGGCAGCTACCATTACCTGGTTATCTGTAGCACAAAGTCAATTTTATCCAGTGTTGTCAAATTATCATAGCCTCAGCCTCAACATTCTTGATTTTTGCTCAAAACTGTGGTGTGAGGAGTGGGAGTCCAGTCGAGACACACTGAGAGGCAAGGGAACTTCTGTCCAAGCTTCACAGCTATTGCCCCAATTACTGATACGCAGAGGTCATTTCGTAGAAAAAGATGTGCAGGAGCTCATTAGCGTAACTCATTAGCATAACTTATTTGCATATGCCACACCCCCTGACATCACTGGAAGTGTGTCAGAAGGCAACATTCACCACTCAGGCTCCACTGGACTGTTTTGGATTGCTAGCTATTGGGGGGGGGGGGGGAACGTGCAGATCTGTCCGCGCAGAGGAGGGAGAGCTTGTACCTGAATAAAACTTGGTCTTAAAGGTGCCATTGGACTGTTTTGGACCTGGTGGCCGGGGGGGCTCTGCAACTTACCTGGCTGCTTCTTGCTCTGACTGAGGGCTGCTGGGAGCAGAGGGTGGGGCTTCTTGCATGTGCCCACCCCCTGGGCACTTTACTGCCGGAGCTCCGCTCCTGTGCGCTCCTGCAGGAAATGACCCCTGCTGATACATACATAGGAAACCTGCCCAGGTTCCCACCATTCAAGCACACATCATTTTTTACTTGTCCTTATATCACAAAAGTGCATAAGGATTCACAGAACTTTTGTGTTTACTGTTCCGCTCTGTCCCAGTTTACCACAGGGAGAGAATCAAGATATGTAGTTAACTCTCAACCCCTTTGGTCACTCGTAGTCTAAGAAAACTTGGACCATGTTCTGTGATGGCCAATGTTCCCTCTTAGCTGTGAAGTCTTGTGAGCAAAAATTCCACTTTGTGAGCTACTGACATTAAATTTGTGAGCGAGCCAAGAAGACAGAGCATCACTTGCCCCAGAGCCCCTAGCTATACCTTGTGGCTAATATCCACTGATGGACCTCTGCTCCATATGCTTATCTAATTCCCTTTTGAAGCCGTCCATGCTTGTAGCCGCCACCACTTCCTGTGGCAGTGAATTCCATGTGTTAATCACTCTTTGGGTGAAGAAGGACTTCCTTTTATCCGTTCTAACCCGACCGCTCTGCAGTTTCATGGAGTGTCCACGAGTTCTTGTATTGTGAGGAAGGGAGAAAAGTACCTATTTCTCTACCTGCTCTTTCCCATGCATAATCTTATAAACCTCAATCATGTCACCCCTCAGTCGTCGTTTCTCCAAGCTAAAGAGCCCCAAGCGCTTTAAGCTTTCCTCATAGGGAAAGTGTTCCAACCCTTTTATCATTCGAGTTGCCCTTTTCTGCACTTTTTCCAAAGCTATAATATCCTTTTCAAGGTATGGTGACCAGAACTGCACACAGTATTCCAAATGAGGTCGCACCATTGATTTATATAGGGGCATTATGATATTGGCTGATCGGTTTTTAATACCCTTCCTAATAATCCCCAGCAGAGCACTGGCCTTTTTTATTGCAGTCACACACTGTCTCGACATTTTCAGTGAGTTATCTACTACAACTCCAAGACATTAGATGATCAACGTCTGCCATTCAAGATCCAAATAGGGGATGCCAGGAACTGAACCTTATGTCCATGTTACAAAGGCAGGAATAGATAGTGTGTAATTCAGAAGTGTATGTAAATCTTTTCTTACAGTCCTCAGAATTTAGCCATCCTTCACCAAGTTCTCTGTATGTCTAAGCAACATCTCACATACTGTAGCCATGAGCTCAGGAATACGTGCTCCCTAAATGAAACAGCATCTGTTCTCTACAGAATTTCTCCTGCCCTGTCGTATAGCATCTCCATCTGTCTTTTTCCACAAATAGGTTACTCCTCAGCAGCATTCATAGTATTTCCACAAGCATCTTTTCCTCATAGCATGGTTGCTAGCTGTCTGAAGTTATCTGTGGGTAATTATTTATTTATTTTTTTATTTAACATTCGACTTTATATCCCGCTCCAACCCCGTCAGGGGGTCTCTGAGCGGCTTACAGGTCGGTGCTAGTCACCATTTCATTCCCTAACTAGGGCCACATATTTGTATGGGGTGGGGGCAACCTACCGGCACCCCTATGGTGGTGGTTGGTGCTGTTCTTTTCTCCGTTGGCTCAGGTATTGGCGGTTTCCTGGCAGGGTGCTCTCTTCGGCGCTTTGGTGGTGACTCTCTCTCTTGAGGCGCGCGACTCCCGCCTCCTTCCGGCTCCAGCAACGTCCTTTTCCGGCTCCGCTGTGCCGGCACTCGACG